ACAATTTACCCAGAGGACTAGGTTCAAATATTCTCAAGTCTCTTTTCCAAAGGGGTTCCCAATCCGATTTCAAATCATTTTTAAAAGATACGTTATTGGAAATTCCCTCTGCTCATCCAGCCCAGCCCACAGATGACTTGTGAAGATGTAGGCACTTCCCTCTGCCTGTATGATGAAGCCTCTTCGTCCATCTCTACCTTACCTTCAAGTATTCTCTGTACTGCCAGCTCCAAGTGGATGGGCTTATCTTACCTAAAACGGCAGACATAAGTGGTTTGTCCTGTTATTTCCCACTGAGTAAATAACACTGATAATTCATCCCCTCCCTTAACAGAGAACTTTGGGGGAGGGGGAAAAAGCACTAGCGTGATCATTAAAATGAGCTTTATACCATTTAGGTGAATCTAAATTGTGTCACTTTTTTTGTCATCAGCCTGTTAACTTGTCAGTCATTAGCGGCAACAGTAATTTATTTTTCTGCTGCAGGAGTCTTAGAGCTTCCATTTACTAGATTTAGTAAAACAGGAATAGTCACTTTGTACAAACATTTTAATTCATTTTCAATAGAAGCTTGAATGCACAACGTTCTGTTCCTGTAAGCCTTAGGAAGAGGGGAGAGAGAGAGGGACAGAAAACATTCCACATGTGAATCCAGAACCACCTCCCACCCACAGCCAGAGGAGCCTGGGGGTAGAAAGAGATGAGCTTTTTCCAGTAGGATTATCGGATACCCCTCAGTGGTGGTGGCGGTGTGTGCGCGTGCACATGCGAGAACCACATTTTGAATTTTATTAACCCTTGAAGCCAGTTTGGCGATTCAGTTTCACATTTGATGAGAGCACACCCATCAGTTGCAAACCAGGTGTCAGTCACTATTGTAAGCCCTTGAACACATGATGGCGTTTAGTACTCCCATCAACTCTGAGAGGCCGTTTTTCGGAAGGGGAGATTGGGTCTTGGAGAAGTGCAGTAATCTTGCCCAAATCCCACAGCTGGTGAGTGATGGGCGAGGTTTTGTACCCAGTTCTTTCTGGCATCCAAACCCTTGCTCTTTCCACTTCTCTATATTATTTCTGGGCAGGATGTGAAGTCAGAATTGTCTGTCCTGTAGCCTGTCATTAAGAAAATGATGTAGATTTAAAAATGTGAGAAGAGTTACATTAACATATGACGTGGCCACTTCACATCCAGCCTCTCAGATGAGGTCTAGGCTGAGCCTTACCTCCTGTCACGCTCTGGGTTGAGTTGCCTGAGAATGAATCAGTTCCCCAAGGGGAGGTGCTCTTCCTGCACGTCAGCCCAGCAACCACTGGAGGGCGCTCATCTGGCATTTGCCCTCGCGTTGCCCTGATGGCAAATGGGTTACTAGGGAGCTTCATTCCTCTTTAACCCGCCTTCCGCTTTTTTTTTTTTTTAAAGATTTTTATTGGGGAATTGCAGGGAGGGGAACAGCGCTGGGGAATTGGGGGAAGGGGAACAGACAAGTTGCTGTCGTTTTGTTCTTCAATCTAGTTGTGGAGGACGTTGCTTCACTGGCCCAAGTTGGCACCATCATTGCGCTCTTCCCTGGCGAGGCAGATCAGTCGCCGGCTTCTGGATGGCCGCTCACTGCGGCTGCTGGCCGCTCACGCTGGCTGCTGGCTACACACGGTAGCCCATGGCAATCCACTGCAGCAGGGACTGCAGCCTACCCGGCGCCAGCGACTCATGGCAGCCCAGCTCCAGGTTGAGCTGTTGTTCAGCATCTTAGCTGTGGAGGGCAGTGTCACTGGCCCTCCTATGTGGGATCCGAACCGGGGCCCTCTGGCATCCCAAGCCAGTTCTTAACCATCGCGCCACTCGGCCGGCCCCCGCCTTCCACTTTTTAATGTGACACCAGCCGAGCCATCGTGTGCCCTACTTTCCAGAGAACATCATAGTGTTTTGCATTTTTTACCACACTCCCGGTGATCATGCAGCAAACATATTGAAGGAAGGCTGCATTTACAATGTGGAGAACTCTCTGACCTGACTAGTCTCCATTTTTTTCCCTGAGTAATTTAAATAGGTCACATTTTAAATTTGATTTCCCAGGCACCTGAGATTTTAAATAAAATCCATCCTTGCCTCCTAGACAATCCTTTTTTTTTTTTTTCACCACTTGGAGTTTATACAGAACATAAACAGTTCCAATATGAAAAAAGGAGATCATTCTTGCTGTATTTTATCAATGAATAAAGACGATAATTATTTGTTCCTTACTGTCTACCCTCTTCCACCTTTTTGGAGGAAAGAAGGCACAATGGGAACATAGCGGTGATAATTTGATGTAAATGTCTCTGCACCCATGACATTCTGTCAAATACATATCCATCCCTTAGGGTCAGAAAGAGCCCTTGGAAATTCATCTCAGTAGATATGTGTAGCCACCGTTCTCACTGTTTTCCTATGTCAGTATGTGAGGGTGGGAGTGGGGTAAGAAACGATGCTGAGTCTAGTCTTCCCACCAGGAGATATCTTCAATGTTACCTAGACCGGAAATGGCAAGTGAGCTTTCTCTTGAATGCCAAGGCTGGCACCTTGCAGCGTGGGCACTGCGCTGAAGGCTTTGAGGCTCTTTCTCGGTCAGGAGGACAAGGTGCAATGATCCATTAGTGATCTCTGCAGAGGTGCAGGAAGGGAGAATAGTAGTTCGTGTGCATACATGTGCCATCCCTGACCTAGAGCTAGAGAACTAACATGGAACAATTTATGTTGTCTTTAAAGCCCCCTCAACACTTTGAGAAAGACCGTAATTTCTCATGCTGGTTCATATTGGGACACTCCCTAATTTGACCGTTGGGCACCCTGAGTTCAAAGCTCTTTCTTCTACCTTCTCTTAGGCAATCATCACGGGCAGCAATTCTATAGATCTCTGCTTCACTAGCCTGGCAATTGAAAGCTTGCTCCCTACATTTAGAGAGAGTTCATCTAAATTCAACATGTGGCTTTGATGTTCTCACTTTGGAAGCCATTCTTCTCCTCTGGTAGATTCATCAGAATAAGAATTCCACTGGGAATTGTGTGTGTGTCCCCAGGAGTTTTCACAACTATCCTATTATAAAGCATTTTGGGGAGGACTGTCGCCTCAATCACATGTCAACTGCTGAGATGTTTTTGTTTCAGGTCAGTTTGCCATGAAGTAAAATGTGCACTTCCCCAGAAAAAGGCATTGTGTGTGTGACATGAGGTCCACTCCAGACCTTGCTCTGTCTGCATCTTTCATAAATGGCTATTTGGTGCCTGCTCATAACCCCGCCGCTTGGGAATCCCCAAGTATCAGAACGTAGGAGAAAGATATCCGTAAGCCAATATTGACGAATGCAACACTGGAAGGAAATCAACAATGATAAACGTGGTCCTGTCCTTGAGTGGTTTACTCTATCTTTGGGAGATTAGGCACTCACAGAAGGAAAGTTAATTACTATAAAAACTTAACAGAAGCATGACAACAAGCGGAGGTTGATAAGGCAGGAAGGGGCCATTGAGTAAGGAGTGATCTAATTTGATATGTAATTGCTTCGTGGGATGGGGACAGTATTTGGGTTGTATGCACATGCGCCATGTTGGATTCTCAGAACCTGTGCATTTCAAATCACGGGTAAACCAGGAGTCATTGACACATCTCTGGTGGTCATTCCTGAAAGTCTCTGAGTGCCAGTTCCATAGCCTGGAGCCACGTCCTCACTTAGGCCCATATTAGAAGCCAGGTTGGAAATTTAGGTTCTTCACAAACTAATCTGGAGGTGAGAAACCCAAAACATGAAGGCTACCACTAAAATCCCACTCTTGATGATCTCTAAGAGGGCAGCATTGGCACAATTGAGGCCAAACTGGTGAAAATTATTAGTAACCTCATTCCAGACAGTAGTCACTGATTTTCAGCCTTCTTCCTATCAATGGATGCAAGAGAGTCTCAGCCGAGATGTGAACTGCGAGAGACGTTATGTCTTCAGCCTGTCCTCCCCTTCCTGTTCTTTGTTTTGTTTTGTTTTGTTTTGTTTTCAAAGAGGCCAGGCATATTTAACCCTTATACTTTATTGTACGTGACATTGTGAAGTAGTGGCCTAGATAAGGAAACTGAGGTTTAGAGTTGATTGTCTCAACTGTGGCCCATCTCCCTTCCTTTTTGGTGAACATAAACGTCTCAGGAATAGGAGTCCACTAAACTGAGGGGAAAATAATCAGCAAAATAGGTTCCGATCCCCCAAACCAGGGATCGGCAAACTGCGGCTCGCGAGCATGTTTCGTCTCAAAAGTTTGCTGACCCCTGGAAGAGCCAGTCCTGTCCCTCACAATAATTTAAAAATTATTCCAGAGCCATAAATATATTTTTATGTAATCACCATTATGTAAATAATATCCTTTAAAATTTTATAAATGAAACTATGATAGTTTTATTTTTATTTTCAATTTTACTTCAGAGCCTACGGCTCCCAAGCCACAGTTTGCTGACCCCTGGCGGCTCTTCCATCTCAAAAGTTTGCTGACCCATTCCCCAAACCAACAACAGCAGCACGCGAGTCCATACAGCTTAGCGAAGGGCACAGCTTACAGTCGGGCCAACCTGGCTTCCCACATGGCTCCCCGACTTGTGAGTTTTGTGACTATGGCCACCTAACTCCACCAGTCAGAGCCTCATCTGTAAAATAGAATTATGATTTCAGCCTCCACCTCGTAGAGTGATGATGATGATTAAGTAATAAATTGCACACAAAGCATGCCTGGCACACAATATGCATTTAATTGGTGGTGGCTGCAGTGATCAGTGGCATTTTTGTGGTGGTGAGGGTGGTGAGGGTGGTTATTGTGTATTTAAAGATGGCTCTGCACCTCCATGGTCAAAGTCCCCAGCCTAGAACATTGCAAGCAAAGCCGAAAGGCCAGGCAGGCTCCACCCCCTTACACTGACCAAGCCCTCCAGGCGCTGGTCTCCATGACCTAGTGCTCTGTCTCTGGTTTTGCAGTCGCCTGCCCCGTCCTATGCAGTGGGAACGGACAGTATTCTAAAGGGACATGCCAGTGCTACAGCGGCTGGAAAGGCGCGGAGTGTGACGTACCCATGAATCAGTGCATCGATCCTACCTGCGGGGGCCACGGCTCCTGCATTGATGGAAACTGCGTCTGCTCTGCTGGCTACAAAGGCGAGCACTGTGAGGAAGGTAAGCTCCCCGGGGTGCTGGGCAGCGCAGCGGAGGCGGGATGCGTTGGAGGGCCTGGACCTTTGCTAGAGCCCAGTCCTAACTTCAAACCCCTTGGCTTTGATGGCCTTCTTAGCTCGTAGAAAACAGAAAGCCGTGGAATGGTTCTGGAAGGCATGTCTTAGTTTTCTTTACGGTAATTTGCTCCTCTTCCCTTTCGCCTTTGTTTTTCACTGTAAATTGCTGTCTCTGCCTTTGTCTTTCTGTCTTCTCTTTCCCTCTATCCTTCCTCCTCTCCTCCCTGCTCCTCCTTTTCCTCTTTTTCTTCCTTCCCCTTCCCCTATCTTCCTTCCTCTTTCCTTCTGCTTTATGTAAAGTCCCCTGAATTGGAAAATACTAAAGCTATCTAGGAAAAAAGAAACAAGAATCCTTAATCCTCCCTCCCAATCTTCCCCAAGGCTGTTTTTGTTTTGTTTTGTTTTGTTTTTTACTGTTCCTGGTAACCTAAGACCCATATATGTCTGTGTAAATATTTCAGCAAAAATGAATACCAATAGAAAGCAGTCAGGCTTGACACACTAGAGGTATCCACGTCCCGTGGAGACGCCATGAAGGGCAAATGATCCTGGTTACCTGCAATCGCGCTGTTAGAGGAAAGCGGGCGTGCTTGGGACGGGGCTGGGATTGCTGACCCGGAGGTGCTTGCTACAGGACACATTGCATGGCCTCTAGCACACATGGGTAAAAATCAGGGGGTGCTGTCAACTGCATCCAATCTGCCAAAACGTGATCAGAGACCCGGCTTGGAGGGGTATGGGGGAGGGGGTGCAGGTACGGGGAGAAAGGGCGCCTCTCAGGAAGAGTTCGGAAGCCGGCTCTAACTAGTCCTAGTTACTCTAGTTAGTTCTTTCAGGAGTGTTGGGAGCATGTTGTAATACCTATAAATAAGCCAGTGAACTCAGCCAAGCTGCCTTCAGCCTTCCCCATGCGCCAGGGCCTCTAGTTGTGCACCTATTACTTATCATCATATAAAGAATCACCCGCAGTAGGTAGGAAGGTAAGAACATACATCCTCTCGGCCCCTCACCTGCTGCCAACCTGAATCGGCTCATTGTCCCCCAGCTACGCACCTTTTCTCTGAGTATATCTCCCAATGGAACGTCCCCATGCAACGCAAACAGCCTTTCTCCCTCCCATGTTCCCAGAGGGAAAAGAAGTGTCAGCTCACCCAATAAACTACGGGAAAAAGTGAAGCCCACTGTCCACTCCATGTGAAGCAGCTTGAGATGACCACCCTGGAAAGATCCTGTTGGGCACCCTATGGCCGCGTCTTTCCCAGTTTCTTACTGTCGAGTTGATCAGGAGGGACCTCAGGGGCTATGAAGTTCTCAGGTGCAAGTGGGTTCGTTCTCCTATCCCATTAACTTATGGATCTCCAGGGTTCTATACAAAATAACCAATCATTACAGCCCTCACCACAAAGTAATGACACTGGCTTGTCCTTAGAAACACAGAAAAATGCTCCCTTTGTGAAATCTCCCATTTCATCATTTTTAGAACTATGGCTACAAAGAGTCAGCTTTCATGACATTATTCTCCATAGATTTTCTAATATATCAGTGGTAATGCCCTTAATGGGGCTCAGAAGTCTGACCCCCAGATCGTCACTTGCTCAACTCTCTCTCTGTATAGATAGATAGATAGATAGATAGATAGATAGATAGATAGATAGATAGATAGATAGATAAATTTCCCCCCCTCTATTATAAAAGGTAGCCTCCCTCTGTCTGCATCATAAAACCAAATTGGAAGTTTGGATGGAAGAAGTACTGATTTAATAACCCTGCTTGAAAGGTTAAAGTTCTTAGAGATAAGTGAATTGCAGAAGGCAAAGCTACACTCACTGAAAACATGGGAGAGGCCAATACAATGACAAGAAAGGTTAAAATGACCTTTTGCATACATCATTTGGCGAGAGGCAAGTGCTAGAGCAATGACATTGCCCGTCTTAATATTTTTTGCCTCCAGTAAAGATTGTGCATATCTATATGAGTGGTGATTTCTCAACTTTGTTACTCTCCCGACCAGTTTTCTTTAAATGTTCAGAATGAATTAACCATCCAACAAAACAAGGAAGCCACGTGGATCATTATGAAAGGATGAAACCTCATCTATTGATTTCTGCTACCCAAAAAGAATGAACCGAGTTGATTCATATGCTGTTTTCAAAATAGGAAATGGAATCAGAAAGTCTGAATCAGCACTTTTTCTTCCATTTAGCTTTTTTATTTCTGATATTCATCATAGTCATAACGTTCAAACAATTTACCTGAAATGGTCATGGCAATGAAATCAATAGTTGCCATCCTCCATTTTTGCTGCATAAACGTTGTTTTACTATTAACAAATTTGCACAAGAAAATGAAAGGATGTATTTGTGAGGTTTCTTTCAGTGATGTCTGGGGGAGCAAGAAAGTGACGAGAGAGAGATTGACATGTTAGTTTAAGTCAGCCATGTTTCCATGTCAGTTTCATGGTTGAGTCATTTTTCAATGACATTTAACTTCATAAATGTAATTCATGGTTCTTCAGGGGTTTATAGTACATACTGTTTGTAAAACTCCTTGACCTCCTTTTTTATCCTTAGGGATAGAAATTGCATTCAGAACCCTTTTTTGTCAAACCTATAGAGGGCCCAAGACTAAATGAGTTCTAATGATTTCAGCTGCCAGGGGGCTGGTGTTGTGAGGCACATGGTACTTAGCTGGTAAAGGCCACTGTCCCCCTTCTAAATATAACACTGTTTCTATTTATAAAGCTTTGTAAAATGCCATAGTCCCTCCTGCTTGCTAAAGACTTTAAGGACGTGACCATGAGACCATCTTAAGAAATTGGAACCAAATTTAAAATTCATCATGGAACTGCTCCTCTTGAAATCTGAATTTAGTAATTCCATCCGCTGTTGTAACTATATAGCACAAAGGACATATTTACTGGTATCACTGACCAGAGACAGGGTTAGCTTGTATTTCTAGATATGATAAATGGTTCTTTTGATGGCATTCCAGTCCTGGGCTAATAAATCGCAGTAAATTTTCCTCCTTCCTTCGTACTGTAATTCAGGATAAAGAAGAGAAAGCTCATTTATCTGGAAGAAAAATGCCATTTTATTTATCTATTTTGTAGATTGCTTTTTATTTCATCCTTTCAAAAACAAGATTATGATAACGTTTTTGAGTTTTTTGAAAGCTCCTTGCCATTGGCACCTCACCAAAAAATTTTAAATGGCTAATTATAGGTGGAGTTTAAAAGTTGAGGCACATAGCATGTGAGATATTTTTGTATGTGTTTTGATTTTGCTGTATTAGAAATGGGGACAGAGTTAAAACCAGAACTTAGGGATTTTCTTTTATTAGAAGAATATGGAAAAGATTGATTCTGAACAAATTAGTTCATGTTTTGCAGATTGCAAATTGCACAGTATTCTTCCCAAAAGCAAGACGTCGTTAGCACCATTTTTCTTGTCAGTTCTTCATACTGGAAATTTGTCCCATTAAAGACTGCTACAGCAACTGTGTATTGAACACCTACTATATTGCCCTAACAGTGCTAGGTAGGCGTGAGACACCTAGCGTTATACAACCTCTTTATAAATATCTTCTATGTGTTTGAACCTTTTAGTTCATCTATATGCAGATGTACCCCATCATCCCACATGGAGCCATTTTGAAGGTTCACATCATCAGGAGTTAGATTCCCCAAGGCAACGAGTTCAACATGAAAGTGATTATAACCAGAGCAAGTAATGAGCAAGTTCACTGTCATGAACATCTTCAATTAATACTAAATCACTAAAATTCACCTTTCTGAGAGTTTTTCCTGATAACAAAAACAAAAAACAATGGCAGCTTCTGTTTCCCTATATCTCAAATAGTTTTGAACTGATTTCCATAAGTAATATCTTCCTGAGAATATCAAAACGGGGTCCTGAGAAACATCTCTTAACATTGAAAATTCTTGTTTTTGCCCCAAGGGAGGGGTGCCCTTTGGAAACTTCATGGAATATTGTGATTTCTAATAAATCCAAATTTCTCATGTCCCCCAGAATGAAATAATTTGGGGCATGGATCATCTAAATAATGTATTTAGAGCCCATGTATCATCAATTTTAAAACACATCATTATTTTGTATACCATAAGAAAGAAAGAAAAAAAGACAAAAAACTGGGATCCCAAGGGGTTACCATCTCAGGGTCATGATGAACTATTTAGAGGCCAAAAATCCTGCATGTTTCAACTTTGGCATTGGGCGAGGAGAGAAATGAGAGTCTTCTCTGAGGATCTGAGCCACAAGAGGGCACGCATACACACGAGGGACTGCATTACACTGTAAGTGTGATCCGTAACACTTCCAGAAAAAAATTTGAAGTGGTCCAAGCTGGCTGTGCCTTCCCCCCATTCCCCCTGCCCCGCACGTGATGGCAGAAACAAATGCTTCAATCGAGGCCAGCAGGCCTGATTTCCAAGCTATTAAAATGGAGGGAAGGTATGACTTAGTCAGATAAAGTGATGAGACCTTTCTGTTTCTCTGATCCATAGGGCAACACCAGGCCCTCTGCAAGGCTACTATTCACTATCCCAACTCCATGGTTTACAGATCTCTCTTCTCCAAATGCCATTGTATCATTTCCTGGGAATATCAAAGGAAGCCCATCTTCTTCTAAAAAGCCCTATTAATCAGCCCTTGGCTGGACAGATATCCAAAGTTGGGGGTCACATTCTCATGCAAAACGTCCTGTCCTCAAGAGCTGGCCTTTGGAGCTGACTCCTCTTCTCACTTTGAGTTGATTCCAGAATAATAATCTTCAAGTCATCCACTGGAAGTATATTCACTTTAATTATTGAGATCGTCAACTGCCAGACCATGAAACTTGCTAGAACAACAGCAACCAGAAACTGACTGTTAATTACTCTGATTTTCTGGTGGTGTTAACTAGTCTGATTGACTTGGTGGAAGGTCAGTGGCCTAGCCAAAGAGATTCACCCATCCAGTCTCCTCATGATTCCCTGTAGGAAAGTTACCCCCACAGGGTGATTTCCACACCCAGTGTCACCTCCGCTATCTTGCATGTTCATTGACTCCTTCAATACAGATGTGCTCAGAGAAGGAAAACTCATTTCAGGCTTAGCTTAAGTAAGACAATTAGGAAAGTGACTCATTTATGAATTTCTTTGGTTTTCTTTTTAGTCTTTTGTTACCTTCTGAAGTCAAGTATGACTGGGTTAGAATGAGCATCTCCACTTTTCTCTCCGATGGTGAGAGGTAATTGGGTTCGGCAACACTACACACACAGACATCACCGGTATTGATGTTCCAGGCTCTGAAGCTCTGATATGGTTTAATTAAGGCACTAAAGTTTATAAGTACAAGGTTCTCACAAAATCACAAAAGACTCTGTATCTGATTTCTCCTAATTCTGCTTGAAAAACTCCCTTTTTTTCTCTTACATTCTCTTCAAGTTTGAGATTTGGTATTTTGACAAATAACAAGTCTTTAATTCCTTAAGGGACCACATAAGTATTACCTGGGCTGCCCCATTTGCTTGCAAGTGGATAGGAATTGGTGAATCGCCGGTCCGCTCAGCGGTTAGCTGGTATCTCATGGCCCCTCCGCCATGAATGATCAAACCTCCTTCTTCATCTTTTTCAGTTGATTGTTTGGATCCAACGTGCTCCAGCCATGGGGTCTGTGTCAATGGAGAATGCCTTTGCAGCCCTGGCTGGGGTGGTCTGAACTGTGAGCTGGCGAGGGTCCAGTGCCCAGACCAGTGCAGTGGGCACGGCACTTACCTCCCCGACACGGGCCTCTGCAGCTGCGATCCCAACTGGATGGGTCCCGACTGCTCCATTGGTAAGACAAATGGCTTTCTGTTGCTTTCCCCAAGGCGCATGCCCTGTGTTCCTTCTGTGGGCCCACATGGATGGGCATCTACTCTTCATACTCAGCTGGGGATGCGGGAACTGTGGTCCACGGCACAGTGCCTCTCTTACTCTCTTCTCCTCTGTCGTGAAGTCTGATCCTTGTTTAGCATAAAAACCACTGCGTAGGTTCTCGTGCCTCGTTGGGTCCATCACTGCAAATGGATGAGGGGCCTGGGAGGAACGCCTCTATTTGCATTATAGATTTCCTTATGTACACTCCCTAAAGGTACCAGAAAACAAAACAGAACAATTGAGCCCCAGACAAGCTGAATGGAACATCCTATAAAACAGAAACGAGGCTCCCTCGGGGTGCTGTGTGAGCCTGTTATAAAGCCCTGCAGTACTCAGGGGCAGGAAAATAATGAAGTTGTGCTGTATACTTTGTTTCCCTAAAATTAAGAGTGTGTGTCTTAAGGTTCACCTTAAAATGGAACGGTTCAACCGTGCAAGTCAGCCCCAACCTTCCCGGGAATGGTTCCACTCATACTGACAAGTGCCTATCCAGGCAAGCGATCGTCATTCCGCCCCCTTCCTCCGGGTAGTGAGACAGCTGTCAGATTACCATGGCAATCAGGAAGGAAATATGTGCGAAGCTTTGCCGACAATGGGAAAGAAATGAATATTTCATTGCAAAAAGAAAAAAAAAAGAATCGGTTAAAATGGGCTATGTGGGGATGTCTTCTCAGCCCACTTAACTCTGGTTTCAATTCTGATACTGGTGGTCCAGGCCAAACTCTGCAGAGGATGGGAGGAGGGGACGCCCTAGTGGCAAGGCCCCACTGTGCTAATGACATGCTGTGTGACCTCGAGTGAGTCCCTGGCCCTCCCAGTCTGGCTTCCCCACCCCTGGCCCGATGAGCCATGCCTTCCTCAACAGTCTGTTGTAAGGATGAGTGTCTGGCCTGTGCTTGTCCTTGCGTGAGAGAGAGGTCTGGAACACCAGAGAGTGCGTATCTGTCTGTCTGTCTCCCGCCCCCCCCCACACACACACACACACAAAACCACAAAAGACTTTGAGCTCCTTTGAGAAAGAGACTGTGTCAATGCAGCACTATTACAGCAGTCATCATTGCCACCAAGGTGCTGATCTGGGTACCGGGTGGGTCTGTAGGCATCATGGGATGGAGCAACAGGGTCCCCAACTGGCCTTTGGTCAATGCAGGCTCTCAGGGGGGGAATATCCCAGCTGGCTAGGGAGTCGGGATCCACAGGTATCTTTTCAAGTGGGCACCTCCCAGGTAACTTTGCCAAACTGGATGGCCACTGTCTGATCACTTCCTGGGATGGTCTCAAGCCCCACAGCAGGGGTCCTCACACTTTAGTGAGCATCAGAGCCACCTGGAGGACTTAAGACAAATTTCTGCATCCCACTCCCAGAGCGTCAAATTCAGGAGGCCCAACCAAGGCACAAGAATTCACATTTCTAACAAGGTCCCAGGTGACAGTGATGCTCTTGGTCCAGGGACACTTTGAGATCCACTGCTCTAGAAAATCCATAACCATGAATGAGTACCCAGCCAGTGGCGAGAACAGCCTCCCGAAGTGACAGAGGTGCTGGGCCTCAGGGCCTGCTCCAGGGACCCGGGCCACGTGTGTGTGTGGTCTGGCCTCCAGTGGAGGGTTTCGCCAGCTGTGGTGTTGAGCTGTAATCATTGTTTTTTTTCCAGAAGTGTGCTCAGTAGACTGTGGCACTCACGGCGTCTGCATCGGGGGAGCCTGCCGCTGTGAAGAGGGCTGGACAGGCGCAGCTTGTGACCAGCGCGTGTGCCACCCCCGCTGCATTGAGCACGGGACCTGTAAAGATGGGAAATGTGAATGCCGAGAGGGCTGGAATGGTGAACACTGCACCATTGGTAGGCAAACGGCAGGCACCGAAACAGGCACATATTGCTTTATTTTCATAAATCGTAGATCTATAGTGATGGTCGTGCATTGCAACGGGCTGTTCCTCTAGGGGCATGAGTGCTTTCCAACATTCCTGCTGCCTCCCCAACTCTCCAAGGGGACAGGGAAGGGAAAAGTGAGGGCCCGATTGGAAAAGCCCTTCCCTTCTTTCTAGAATTCCAGATTGGGAAGAAAGGGGCCAAATAAGAAAATCCATCCAAATTACTGATCTTCGGGAGGGAAAAATGCACACGCATGGGAAACTGTCAAAGCCTGGAGGATTCAAGCACCCCCAAATGACTGTGGCCTGCAAGTCCCCCCTTTTTGAATGTTCTCCCAACTGGCTGGACCACTGGACCCCTGCTTGCTGGCAATAATTGAACCCACTTAGTTTAGACAAGGTTGGAAGCAAGCAGGACTCCCGGGTTTCCTGGGTAGCCAAGTGCCGCTGTAATAAGTTTGAGCGTCCTCTTGCTGGCCCAACACAAGGCTTCATCCATGGGCTCCGGACCCTCCCCATCACCACCACCATCCCTGGAGGCCTCCTCCCCTGGTCCCATTTCATTCTCACTCGGCCACCTCTCTATATAAGCTGCTTGACCGAGGCTATTTTTTTAAAGGTCATTTCCTTTTTTGAGAAGTAATAGCTCTCCAGTTTCTTTGGTTTTGGTTTTGTTTGTTTGCTGTCATTATTGTGGTGTGGGATGAGGCAATATTGGATTAAATGTATCCAATTATCCTTTGAATTGAGGAGTTGGGAGCCAATGCCCTTTGGCTCGCCACAGCCCTCGGATAGTTGGGATTAGCTCCATTTTACCTCCAGTTTTCGGATTTGTTGTTTAATTCAGTCAGGTGAAAGAGTCCTTCCATACCAAACTGGCTAATCCCTTGCTTGCATCAAAACTCTCAGACACCTCCAGTCAAAGTACTGACCTGCTGCCTAAAGATACTTTGATTCTAGCCATCAAGCTGCGGGGGGGCTCTCCCCTTTGTCCTAGCCCCAAAACCCTAGTGACAGATTGGCCACCTGGAGTGAGAGACTGGGTTAGGAGCTTCTCCAGGGCTGACTCATGAGATCAGACTCAGTTTCCCATGCTGTTCATTTGGGTGGTTAAAGCAGAGACGAAGTCTCCTCTGCATTAGACTCCCCAAGTTCCATCTAATTGGACATCCAAGGGGCAGCGTGCCAATACAGGCCACAACCGAAGCACTGGGACCCTGCTGGGACAGCCTGTTGGCAGTGACTTGTTTTTGCAATCTCTCAATGACGCTCCCGATCCTGCTCCCCCTGCAGCCACATCCATCTTCAGTTCCCTGCAGAGTCTGGGGGATGATTCAGCAGACTTGCAAGGGAGGGGTGTGCACAGCCCACAACCGAGGCAGTCTAAAATTCTTACTGATAGCTTCCACTCTTCAGGGGCGTTCCTCTTGATGTATTTTTGCATGCCCACTGTGATTGAAATCCTTTCCCCTACCCCCATACCTCTTCTGCCCCCAATCTCACCCCCAAAAAGAGCTCTTGCAAACCAATAACCTTTAGGTAGAGAATCCTACTTTCTCTCCATTCACACACCCAGCTTCCGCTCCCCTTGACCCTTGGCTTCTCATGTCTCCCAAGGTTTAGTGCCCCACGGTGGTGCCTCCTGGCTCTCTCCTCCCTGCACCCCATCTTTACTCTGGGAATAGCCTACAGGAGGGCAGCCCAGATGGATCAAAGCAGAGTCTGGAACACTACGGCCTACGGGACCACATCTGGCCTGCTGCCTGTTGTTCTGTGGCTGATGAGCTAAGAATAGTTTTTACATTTATTAAGGGTTGAAAAAAATGTTTTAAATATCTTCTAACACATGACAGTGATATGAAATTCAAATCTCAGTGTCCATAAACAAATGTTATTAGCAGATAGCCACACCCATTTGTCGATGGACTGTCAGCTTCCATACTGTGTTTCGGTGATGAGTAATTGAGACAGAGACTGCCTCGTGACCCACAAAGCCATTTGTTAGCTGGTGCTTTACAGAAACAAAAAGGCTGACCCTGAGTTAGAGAGCTGCACAAGCCTTGATGGAAAGAGAGCAGAAAAAAGAGTTGGGTCAGTGTTCACGTTAGGAGAAGGACCACAGTTGTGACTTGAAGGGTCAGAGGCCAAGAGAAGGGGAGAAGGTCCACGTGTCACCACGTGGGAGTGGAGAGAAAGCGATAGTTGAGTTGAAGTGTCTCTGGGGCCTTTGAAAAAGAGATGGGAAGATGACAACTTCAGTCTTAGTAGAAAATGGTGAGAACATGGCCAGCAGGACACAGGAGGTGTTTCGTTCTAGTGAGCCCTTTGGGCAAGATGAACCGGAAAAGGTGTTTCCACTACTTGAAGTGTTTGGTTCAAGTTTCACATCTCTGTGCGATAAGATACATGAGTTCTTGAGAGACATAGAGGAAATGCAAATTTATATGGCAAGTCAAGCTCCCAAAAGGAAGGGAGTGGTGTGATCCCGGCAAGCCTCTTGTTCAGAGCGACTTGATGAGTTCTCGCTAGGTAACTTGTAAAGACCTTTATCACCAAAGTCTTTTCTTGTGAGAAATCAAGGCTCTGTGGTTTCATTTGTAGGATAGATGGTGTCTCCTCATACATACGTTCCCTGAGGTTTCTCAAAAAAAAAAGGCCAAACATGCCTTGGTTGGTGAGATTTGCTATTCAGAATCTAGAAATGTTCATATGCGCATAATTGCTGCTTTTGCTTTTCCACCTCTGGCCCCAGAGCTGTTTCGTGGAGTTTTCATCTTTTATTTTGAGCAGGCACTCCTGTCAATTCAGTTTAAGTAAATGCCACAATTTACAAGCCCAGAATCAGTCCTCCTCCTCAGGGATACTGACAGTCAACACAGAAAGAGAGGCTCTTTGGTGTTTTCCGAGCAGAGCCTCAAATGCTGTATTTTGAAAATAGAAAATAAATAAGAATGAAATGGCACCTAGTCTGCAAACAATGTATTGGGAGATTTGGGGTAATGCAGAGCCGTAGATGGTTGGTGTTGGGGTACTTGGGGTGTCTG